ATCTCGGCTCACTGCAACCTCCGCCTCCTGTGTTCAAGCACTTCTCTACTTCAGCCTCCCGAGTAGCTGGGATTACAAGTGCCCACCACCATGCCCGGCCAATTTTTTTTTTGTATTTTTAGTAGAGATGGGGTTTCACCATCTTGGCCAGTCTAGTCTTGAACTCCTGACCTTGTGATCCACCCACCTCGGCCTCCCAAAGTGCTGAGAATACAGGTGTGAGCCTCCGCTCCAGGCCAGGGTGAGGCTTTCGTTTTTAGGCATCAGACAAGATTTATTCACATGATAATTCCATATTTTCTGAGAAGGATTAAAATTTTTCTTAGGTCCCCAAACTAGAAGGCAATATCGATACTGGTCTTGGTTATACGCATTTATCATAATATTCATTTAAATAGCAGACTGGGGTTCCCTAAAACAATTAGCCCTATTTCTGTTTCCATGCAAACAGGACAGACAGAAGTCATTCAAAAATTCTTTTTCAAACCAGATATGAACAAAGAACTCTCAAGTCTGGATGCAATGTTGAATCCAGTAATCATGCTCCTACAACCAGCCAGATCTCTCAAAAGGCAAGGTGAGAACGAGGAGCCGCACGGCAGTACAGTCACCGTGCTGCCAAGTGAGGACAGGGATCATCACTGTCTGGAGGGTTGTTAAGTGGTCCTATTAAGAACATCTTCCAGGTAAATGCTTTCAGTGAAACAAAAACAAACAAACAAAAAAGAAAATCTGATGGGAGAAATCTGTTATAAAACTCATCTCTGATGAACCACAAAAGGGATTTCAATGTGTACTTGACATTAATATCCCAGGCCTGCCAACTCACAGATACGAAGCTCAGGATTTCCCTCCTCTATAAAGTCTTACTACCCTGCCTTTTCCTGTTCCTGTTCCCGCCTGTTAAATTGATCCCTTCTTCTGCTAGGCTGCATACATACTGCTTTGATTGCACTTGTTTCCTTCACTAGCTTATAGGATTTCTGAGAACAGGGACCAAACCTTTTTCATCTCTGCATCCCCATTGTTAGCACAATTACTGGAACATTGTAGGGGTTCATTAAGTCGTTTAATTGCTGATAAGATTAATAATACTGATAGTTAACTTTTGAGTGTTCAGAAACTCTATGTTTAACATCCTATATTTCTCCTCATTTTCCAGGTGAGAGAGCTGAGGCACTGAGATGTTAAATATCATGCCTAACCTCATCCAGCCAATAACTGGCAAAGCAACAACACAAACTAGGTGATCAGGCTCCAGAACCTTCATTCTTAACTACTACACAGAGTGGCACACAGGAATGAATGAGTGATCTCATAAAAGGGCTATATACCTATGAAACTATTAAATAAGAACTGAAATTGGTTTGATTTAGAAACCTGGTTTATTCACACAAAAATTGATTAAGTAGATATCCAGTACTCTCTGCCAAGCCCAGTGCTAAGCATTAGTGGTACAAAGAGAAAAAATATGGTCCTATTCCTCAACAAGAAGAAAAACAAACAATGAACGGTCACTAAGCACTCACTGTTAAGTAAGTGCTTAATAGTAAGCTGGGCACTGTTCTAAGTATTTCACATTGTTAGTCTCGTTAATCTTTACAAAATCCCTATTATGAGACCCCAGTTATATTGTATTATTAAACTGAGATGAGACAGATAAGAAACTGAGGCTCAGGGAGGTTAAGCGAGTTGCAAGAGCCACCATTTGAATATAAGCAGCCTAGCTCCAGAAACCATGCTCTCATCATTATACTCTACTGCCTCATCAGTTTATAACCACACAACCATAACACAATGTGATATGTGCTAAGAGAAAGCAAGAGAAAAAAATACTATAGATGCAGAGAGGAAATGATAACTTTTGCCAGAGGGAGCTCAAAGAAGGCTCTGTAGAGCAGGTAACATATGATCCGGGCCTTGAAGATATGAGTATAGGAAAGAAATTCAGGCCAGGCACAGTGGCTCATGCCTGTAATCCCAGCACTTTGGGAGGCTGAGGCAGGCAGGTCACTTGAGGTCAGGAGTTCGAGACCAGCCTGGCCAACATGGTGAAATCCCGTCTCTACTAAAAATACAAAATTTAGCCAGGCATGGTAGCAGGTGCCTGTAGTCCCAGCTACTCGGGAAGCTGAGGCAGGAGAACTGCTTGAACCCAGGAGGGGGAGGTTGCAGCGAGCCAAGATCACACCACTGCATTCCAGTCTGGGTGACAGAGCGACACTGTATCTCAAAAACATAAAAATAATTTTAAAAAATTCAAACCAAAACGCTACATGGAGACCAGTAAAACTTGTATGTGTCTCCAAAGCCACCACTACTAAAGTACAAAGCTAAGAAGCAAGCCCAGCACTAAACTGTCTTCTACTGCTGAGGCCACTTCTCACCAAGGAACAGGGAAATGACCAGTGAATCTGTGGCCAGAATCTTTATGTCAAGTTTCTCACTTAGTTGAAACGCTCCCTGGGGTTTTAGTCAGCTTCACAGCACCTGTAAGAACTTCTTTTTTTTTTTTTTTTTTTTTTTTTTTGAGACGGAGTCTTGCTCTGTCGCCTGTAAGAACTTCTTTTCCCCTCCCTTCCATACAATAGATAATGTTTCTGGAAGGAGACCCTCAGACTCTCTTTAGTGTAACTTGAGGCCAGATCTTTCAAGGTTGGCAAAGGAGGCTGGAATCACCATGTGGGTGAGAGGGATAGCTGGACCTCACAGCCCCAATTTTTTCCATACATGAAGATACTCTCTGCTCTGTTAACTGCAGAGGTTCTGAATTCAGTTGTATTAAAGGGCATCCATGGGTTCCCTTAGAGTTCATTCCACTCAAACCTATTGGCAACATCCCGTCCTGTGATTGCTACCTTCCCCAAGGATTACTGGGTGCTATCCCCAAGAAATGCAGGTGAATAAGTACAAGTGAACTCAACTCTCGCTAAGTACTCCTGGAGCAAATTTGCAATTATTTCTCCCACTCAAAACACCCTCTCTTGACCCCACATACCATTTGAGTTACTGATTCATTTCTCTGCTCACCTTTAAAAAAAAAATCTTCAAAAGATTTGTCTATACTCCCTGTCTACAATTTTTCTCTTCTCTTTCCCTTTTGAACCATTCTAATCAAGCTTTTGTCCACTGAAACAGCTTTTATCAAGGCTACTAGTGACCTCTATGTTGTTAAATTCTACCAAAAATTCCCAGACCTAATCTTACTTGGCCAACCAGAAGTATTTTTCAGTTGATCATTCTCTCTTCCTTGAAGTACCTTCTTCACTTGGCTTCCAGGATACCATTGTCTTCTGGTTTGCCTTCTACCTTCTGGCCAGTTTTTCTTAGCCTCCATTGTTTGTTCCTCTTTATGTTCCTAAACTCTAAATGTTGAGATGTCTCAGGGCTTGGTCCTCGGTCTCCTTCTCTTTAACTCTTCTCATTCCTTGGTGATTTCGTCTGTATCATACCTTAAATACTATGTAGATGTCTATGACTCAAAAATTTTTATCTCTGGCCCGGGCCACTCCTCTGAAGGCCAGGCTCATACATCCCACAGCTTATGCAACACCCCCACTTAGATGTCTAATTGGAAGCTCAAATTAAACATATCCAAAATTGAGCTTCCAATACACTCCCAACCCTGTTCATCTGACAGTCTTCACCATTACAGTTAGTGGCAACTCTATCTTTCCGACCATTCAGGCCAAAAGCCTTGGCATCATCTTGGACAGAGATGCTATATTACAGAACTCCAGGGGGCACTAGACACTTTTTTGTCACTGCTATTAGTGTTATGCCATATGGTGACCCTGCTTTCCTTGATTCCTTTTACATCCTACATCTGATCTGTTAGCAAATCCAGTTGGCTGTACCTTCAAAATGTATCCAAAATGCAACAACTCCCCAAGTCCACTGTCCTCCCCTGACCCAAGCTTGCCCCCTTAAATTTACTTTCCACAAAACAATCACAGCAATCCTTATAAAATATAAGTCAGATCACATCACTCCCCTACTCAAAATTTCCCAATGCTTCCCATCACATTCAAAATTCTTACAATAGCCTACAAGATGCTGGATTGCTTTTTTCTTTTATATTTATCCCTATCTAATAGACTGTATATTTTCTTTATTCATCTCACTTATTGTCCGCTGCCCATATGTGAATATAAGCTCCATAAAGTCAGGGACTTGGTCTGTTTTATTCACAGATGAAGCCCCAGCATCTACAGCAATACCTGACACGAAGTACGCACTCAATATGTATTTGTAAATGGAATGAATGAAGTAGATTGAGTAGGGGGAAATCTTGACACATGGGCCAGAATTATACCAAAACGCAATATGACAAGTGAAATGGCATTTGAGGAGCAAGCTAGTGCTGAGACCTAGTCAAGCCCCAGGAGATGTTTTCAGTTTCTACTTCCTACCATTGTTTTGACATTTTGTCTGAGGAAGTCTCCATTCTTTTGTCTCCTAAAGAGAAAGAAATTGACTATATAGAAAAGTAAGGAGCTCCCCCTAGTGGAAGTAACTCCATCAAAGCAATGGAATAGAAAATCAAAGCCTGGTGCTTGAAATTACAAAGATCACTGGGGACAAAGGAAGTGACTCCAGCATTTCACAGGAAAAATCCTCAGTGGAAACATTGGAGAACTAAAGATTAGATCTGAAGCACATGGGGGAACTTACCAATTTATTTTATTGTTGAACCTCTTTTATTTATTTAAAGTTGAACAACAGGCCGGGCACAGTGGCTCACGCCTGTAATCCCAGCATTTTGGGAGGCCGAGGCGGGCAGATCACTTGAGGTCATGAGTTCGAGACCAGCCTGGCCAACATGAAGAAATTGCTAAAAAAAAAAAAAAATTAGCCAGGTGTGGTGACATGCACCCATAATCCCAGCTACTCGGGAGGCTGAGGCATGAGAATTGCTTGAACCCGGGGAGTGAAGGTTGCAGTGAGCTGAGATCGTGCACTGCACTCCAGCCTGGGAAACAGAATGAGAATCTGTCTCAAAAAAAAAAGTTGAACAACATATGTACCTACCCTCAAGGAATTTAAAATCTGGTAGAGAATGTAACTCACGAATACAAATAAGCACAAAGCAATGAGTATGGATGTAAATCAGTGAATATGAGCCAAACAAGACGAATAAACTAAAAGATATGACTCACTCAGGAAAAAGAGGGATTACTTTAGGCTGAGGAAATCCAGGAAAACATCTTGGAGGGAATGGTTCTTGAGCGGCACCTTGAAAGACAAATAAAATTTACATAAGCGAGTACTATATGTAAAGACCTAAATCTAGAGAAGGGCACATCATGTGAAATTCCAAGCAGACCAGTGGGGCTTTATAAAGGTCACAATTTGGGTGATAACACAGAACCTGAAACCCTCCTTGAAAAGAGCAGAGAGGGATTCCTGAGAGAAAGGTCCTTGGCAAAGGTGAACACAGGCAGGGACCAAAGAAAGTCCCTTTCTTCATTTTCCCTTGGATGAAAGGAACACTACTTAAATGTATAGGGGAAAAAAAAGAAAATAATATAACTGCAAGTGGTTATTCTCTTCCATGGTAATGCCTACTGAGGCACTTTTCTGGTGAATCTAGAGGAGGGGTCCACAAACTTTTTATTTAAAGGGCCATATAGGCTGGGCATGGTGGCTCATGCCTGTAATCCCAGCACTTTGGGAGGCTGAGGCAGGTGGATCGCTTGAGCCCAGGAGTTCGAGACCGACCTGGGCAACACAGTAAGACCCCATCCCTACAAAATATTTAAAAATTAGCTGAGCATGGGGGGGTGCACTTGTAGTCCCAGCTACTTGGGAGGATGAGGTGGGTAGATTGCTTGAGCCCAGGAGTTTGAGGCTGCAGTGAGCCGTGATCACTCCACTGCACTCCAGCCTGGGTGATAGAGCGAGACCTTGTCTCATTAATGAATAAATGAATGAATGAATGAATGAATGAATGGACAGATAGTAAATATTTGTGGCTTTGTAGGTCATATACAGTATCTGTCACGACTACTCAACTTTTCCATCACAGGGTAATAGCAGTGATAGACAATATATAAACAAATAAACAATAAAACTTTATTTACAAAAATAGATGGCAGACCAGATTTGGTCCACATGCTGAAGTTTGCTGACTCCTGGCCTACCAATAAGAGAAGCAGTTACATGATTCAAATGCTTAATCACATCGGGCTTTGGTAGCCCAATGTGTTCATGGATGCAACAGAGATACACCTACCTCCAGTATCAGATTGGGCAAGTTCTTGGGTTGGGTTCCTTCTTTTCTGACCAGCGCTTAGATGTATACTGCCAATATTTGCCTCTCTAGTACTTCTTTTTAATTGCTGGTCACCCTAAAAACAAAACCCATCTCATTTGAAATCCTCCATTATTAGAAAGCTATTGATAGGACTATTGATAGGGCTCACAAGGCAGCGTTTATCTTGATACATTTTCTTTTTCAGGGTCTGGACTTCACCTTGGCTTTGCAAGATAAGAAATCCAATCTAGGCCAGGTGCAGTGGCTCATATCTGTAATTCCAACACTTTGGGAGGCCAAGGCAGGAAGATCACGTGAGGTCAGGAGTTCAAGACCAGCCTGGCCAACATGGTGAAACCCCATCTCTACTAAAAATACAAAAATTATCCGGGCACGATGGTGGGTGCCTATAATCCCAGCTACTCGGGAGGCTGAGGCAGGAGAATCGCTTGAACCCGGGAAGTGGAGGTTGTAGTGAGCCGAGATCATGCCACTGCACTCTAGCCTGGGTGACAGAGCGAGACTCTGTCAAAAACAAGAAAAAAGAAGAAGGAAGGAAGGAAGGAAGGAAGGAAGGAAGGAAGGAAGGAAGGAAGGAAGGAAGGAAGGAACTCGGGACAGGGAGCGACTCTGGTCAAAAACAAGAAAAGCAATAATAATAATAATGAAGAAGGGTTAAAGTGAAGAATAAGAAGAAGTAAATGGGGGCTGGGGTAAGTAATAGTTAATCTAACTTTGAAGGAAGGAAGGAAGGAAGGAAGGAAGGAAGGAAGGAAGGAAGGAATTCAATCTCGAGTTGTCTGAAATTGGGAAGACTATGAAAGCTCTACTTATCAGTAAAAGTCCCAGAGGAATGCCAGTAGCATCAGTTTACATTCAGTAGCTGTTTTACAGAGATCACCCTGATACTTTGTTACCTGCAAGGGAAGCGGGAGCCTCCATTCTTAGATGTTTTCCTGCCCTGAAAAAAAAAGTGACAAATTGGCAATATGAATACTTACAAGAGGCATTAGCTATAAGCTTTGTGAAAAGAGAGATTATTTTTTAAATTAGAAATAATCTTTTATTTTTACAAAAACAGTATATATTCATTGTGAAAAATTCGAAAGCAGAAATAACTAAATAGAACATTGTGTTCCCATCACACAGAAATCACCACTGTTAACAGCTTAGTATATATCTTTTCAGATATTCTTTCTAAGTATATGTAATACATATACGCATTTTCTTCCAAAAATGAAATACTGTACAAAATGTTTTACAACTGCCCTTTTCAGTTAATGACCTCCACCATTTCATCTTAATAAGTTTTCACATCATCTAATAACCATCCATATACAAATTTCCCTAATTTTCCCAAAAATGTCCCATTAAGCAAGTTTGTTTAAATCATGATCCAGTCTCAGACCACACGCTGCATCTTAAGTCTCTTTTCATTGAAAACAGTGTCTTCTTTCAGGACAAAAATTTTGTTTCATGCTGTATCCCCAATGCATTTAACAGTTCTTGGTACATAACAGTAACTCAATAAATATTTGTATAATTAATTAATAAAAAATTTAGGGGGTGGGGGATTCATGGTAGAGTTTATCTCATCAACCCATTACCCTTTAGCTCAATTTTATAGAAAATAAAAATAAAGACCAGAGACATAAAGTGACTTCCCAAGGTCACACAGCCAAGTATATGTCAATTGTTTTCCATACTTTTTTTTTTTTTTTTTTTTTTTTTGAGATGGAGTCTTGTTCTGTCGCCAGGCTGGAGTAGAGTGGTGTGATCTCAGCTCAACTGCACTCAGAGGTGCAACCTCTGCCTCCCGGGTTCAAGCAATTCTTCTGCCTCACTCTCCCAAGTAGCTGGGACTACAGTTGCACGCCACCATGCCCAGCTAATTTTTGTATTTTTAGTAGAGACAGGGTTTCACCATGTTGGCCAGGATGGTCTCAATCTCTTGACCTCGTGATCTGCCCACCTCGGCCTCCCAAAGTGCTGGGATTAAAGGCATGAGCCACTGCACCCAGCCCTTTTTGTTTGTTTGTTTTGAGACGGAGTCGCCCAGGCTGGAATGCAGTGGCGTGATCTCGGCTCACTGCAAGCTCTGCCTCCTGGGTTCAGGCCATTCTCCTGCCTCAGTCTCCCGAGTAGCTGGGACTACAGGTGCCCGCCACCACGCCCAGCTAATTTTTTGTATTTTTAGTAGAGACAGGGTTTCACCACGTTAGCCAGGACTCGATCTCCTGACCTCATGATCCGTCCACCTTGGCCTCCCAAAGTGCTGGGATTACAGGCGTGAGCCACCACGTCCAGCCCAACTTTTTATTCTATTAAACCAGGAGTTGGCAAGCTTTTCTGTGAAGGTCAGAGAGTTAATAATTTAGAATTTATGAACCAAGAAGCAAGATCGAGGATACTATATAAGTATTTACATAATGAGAGAAAACAAAATTGTACAAATTTTTAATTAATGAAATTTAAAATGTAATAACAATTGACTATAAGGTTTCATAATACAGTTCTACTAATGAAAAGATTAGAATAGAAAAATAACATTTTGCTTCATTGGGGTTGAAAATTAGTGTTCCCTATCATCAAATTTGTTGTCACTGTTCATCTGAAAACACATTCTTAGCTCACAAGTCATAGATTGCCAATTCCTATACTACATCATGCAGCTTGTTTGTGGTCTGCTTTTCTTTTAAAGTTTAAGTGAAAATAACATTCCTCATAATTGACAGTTACATTTGGGTGCTGGCTTATTGGAGCTATATGATAGTAAAGCACCAATGAGGAAAACAATTCCTCAGTCACTCTTTATTTTATTTTATTTTATTTTATTTTATTTTATTTTATTTTATCGCCCAGGCTGGAGTGCAGTGGTGTGATCTCAGCTCACTGCAACCTCTGCCTCCCAGGTTCAAGCGATTCTCCTGCCTCAGCTTCCCAAGTAGCTGGGACTACAGGCACACACCTGGCTAATTTTTGTATTTTTAGTGGAGATGGGGTTTCGCCTATGGTCTCGAAACTGGTCTCGAACTCCTGACCTCAGGTGATCCACCCACCTCGGCCTCCCAAAGTGCTGGGATTATAGGCATGAACCACCGCGCCCAGCCCACATTTTTAAAAAGTATGTAGTGTGTTACTTCAGTTATTCTAGTAGCTAGCTGTTGAGCATGCCTGTCTTCTTTCATTTAGATGGACAGAAGGTAGGCTGCATTGTGACGGTCACTTTTATAATTAACCACGTGTTAATATTTAATAAGGCTGACCAATTTAAAAATCAGTGCAAGTGAGGATAGTAATTGGCCTATGTTGGGGCTTCCTTTTCTCAAATAAAAATATGCTCTTTAAAGATACATAGGTAAATATTCAAAGAGTTAAAAGAACAGAAAGTGGTTGCTTTTGGGGGCAACATGGAACGGGAAGGAAAGCAAATGATTCCTTTTTTAAAAAAGCAAATCTTGTAGAACTATTTGATTTTTTTTAAACTACAGTATGATACCTGTAATCCCAGCACTTTGGGAGGCTGAGGTGGGAGGATTGCTTGAGCCTAGGAGTTCAAGATCAACCTGGGCAACATGGCAAAAGCCTGTCTTTTTTTTTTTGAGATGGAGTCTTGCTCTGTCACCCAGGCTGGAATGCAGTGACGTGATCTCAGCTCACTGCAACCTCCACCTCCTGAGTTCAAACAATTCTCCTGCCTCAGCCTCCTGAGTAGCTGGGATTACAGGTGCACACCGCCACACCTAGCTAATTTTTGTATTTTTAGCAGAGATGAGGTTTTGTCATGTTTGCCAGGCTGGTCTCGAGTTCCTGACCTCAGGTGATCCATCTACCTCGGCCCCCCAAAGTGCTGGGATTACAGGTGTGAGCCACTGCGCCCAGCCGTGAAACCCTGTCTCTACACAACATTTAAAAATTAGCCAGCCGTGGTGGTGTGCACCTGCAGTCCTAGGTATTTGGGAGGGTGAGGTGAGAGGATTGCTTGAACCCAAAAGGTTGAGTCTACAGTGAGCTGTTATTGCACACGCCACTGTACTCCAGCCTGGGTGACAGAGCGAGATGCTGTTTCAAAACAAACAAAAAACCTACAGTATGTACTTGTATAATTTTGATTAAAATAAACAAAAGAAAACCAGAGGCACATTAAGACCCCTTCTGGAAAAGGTTTCCTTAATACTTTCCTCCACGTGCGTTCAAGCAGGGTTAAGTGTTCTCTTCTCTGCTCCCCAGAGCATCTTGTCCTCAACTCCCTTCAGAGCACTTAACAAGCTGTACTGTCATTGTGCTCCTTGCAAGGAAGGACTATGTATTATTTATTTCAGCTCCTATTTTTTACAACACTAAAAAAGGCATTCGTTAAATGAAGTGAAACTAGCTAAACCAAATACAACCAAAAATCACTCAATCTAGGCAAATTAACATCACAATGAGACACCAATCAAAAAGACAGACAAGAAAGTATTGGTAAGGATGTGGAGAAATAGAAATCCTCATACATTTACCAGTGAGGAGAGAAAACAGTGCAGCCACTTTGGAAAACAGTCCAGAAGTTCCTAAAAATTTAAACATATGGTTACTTTATAAAACCCAGCAATTCCATTCCTAGGTACATACCCAAGAGAACCCAAAACATACGTCCACACAAAAACTTGTATACGAATATTCACAGAATTATTCATAACAACCAAAAAAGTGGAAACAACTCAAATGTTTATTAACTGATGAGTGGAAAAACAATATGGTATATCCATCAATGTAATATTATTTAGCTAGAAAAAGGCAGTACTGATAATGTTACAAAATGGATGAACCTTGAAAACATCATGTTAAGTGAAAGAACAGAGACACAAAACGCCACATATTGCATGAATCCATTCATATGAAATGTCCAGAAAAAGCAACTATATACAGACAGAAAGCAGACAAATGATTGCCTAGGGCTAAATATGAGAGAGGAGATTAACTGCAAACAGCTTCTGGGAATTCATGGGGGATAGGGGAAATGTTCTAAAACTGTATTGTGGTGATGGTTGCATAACTCCATAAATTTATTTTTATTTATTTGTTTAGTTTTGAGACAGGGTCTTGATCTGTCACCCAGACTGGAGTGCAGTGGCACAATCACAGCTCACTGCAGCCTTGACCTCCCTGGCTCAAGTGATCCTCCCACCTCAGCCTCCAAGTAGCTGGGACTACAGGTGTGCGCTACCACTTCTGGCTAAATTTAGTTTTTAAATTGTACACTTAAAATCAGTGGATTTGATGGTATATAAAGAACAAGGCTGGGAAAAAAATTCCTCAATCTATTACATTATTCAGTTTCTTTACAAATTAACTGTTTTTCCTCAAATAGACTACTTCTATTAAGAACCGTGGTGAGGCTGGTGGTAGTGGTTCACACCTGTAATCCCAGCACTTTGGGAGGCTGAGGCGGGTAGATCACCTGAGGTCAGGAGTTCGAGACCAGCCTAGCCAACATCTTGAAACCCCGTCTCTACTAAAAATACAAAAATTAGCCGGGCGTGGTGGTGGCATGCCTGTAATCCCAGCTACTCAGGAGGTGGAGACAGGAGAACTGATTGAACCCGGGAGGCAGAGGTTGCAGTGAGCCGAGATCGTGCCACTGCACTCCAGACTCTGTCTCAAAAAAACAAAAACAAAAAACAAAAAAAAACCGTGGTGAGGCCGGGCGCGGTGGCTCACGCCTGTAATCCCAGCACTTTGAGAGGCCCAGGTGGGCTGATTACTTGAGGTCAGGAGTTCAAGACTAGCCTGGTGAATATGGTGAAACCCCATCTCTATTAAAAAATACAAAAACTACCCGGGTCTTGTGGCCAGCTACTCAGGAGGCTGAGGCGGGAGAATTGCTTGAACCCAGGAGGCAGAGGTTGCAGTGAGCTGAGATCGCGCCATTGCACTCCAACCTGGGCCACAGAGCAAGACTCTGTCTCAAAAAAAAAAGAAAAAAAGAACCGTGGTGAATTAAGTTTCTGAGCCATTTCTGTCGGTTGGGACTTGGGGCTGTGCTGCATAGACATCACAGCCAGCATCTCAGTCTGTGAAATTGTAGGATGTCTTGAGGTGTAAAACGTGTTTCCAGTTGAGTGACGCCAGTGTGTAGTCTAGATAGTCTCTGGCCTCTCTGCCAGTTTAAGTGTGAGAGTGCCTAAGGCCTCTACACCAAGCAAGAAACTAGTCAGTTAACAAACTCACGTCTTGAAACTGCCCAGCCCAGTTCACAACCAGGTGAATTGTTCTATTACAGCATATCTATGAAAATGATCGATCAAATTACTGATTTGATTTTTCTCCTTTTTTTGGAGGGTGGGCAACTGGGTAAGTGCTTATTGGGCAAGGATGTTTGGGCAAGGATGTCCGACCAGATCAGCCAAGAGATACGAAGTCCATCCCGTCGACCTGTCCCCTGGGGTAGTACAGGGGAAAGCTCATTTCTCCAAGGCCAGTGGGGAGGCACAATGGGATTTAACAGCACCTCTCCTGGCTAGGGGAAAGGCTGGGACAAAGTCCCTCCTTTGTTGCATTGCGGGAAGGGCCAAACCTGCCACAATGTCAGGGTGAGGTGTCTGTTCCCGGGGCCTCCTGGTAACCGGTAAGCTCATGCGACTGCTCCGGAACTTCAGTCGCTTTCGCCGCTGCAGCCCCACCGTCCGGCCCGCGCACGACGAAACGAGCAGGCGGTGGAGGGAGGAAAGCAGCCCAAGCCGGCTCGGCACTTTGCCGCTCACTCCTGGCAGCCGTCCGAGAATCCCCAGGCGGTCCCCCACGACCCTGCGCGTGACCCCCCTGTCACGTGGCCGCCGTCCCTTTCGGGACACGCCATTGCTTCTGGCGCCCCCTGGTGACCAGAAGAGAATAGAGCTGGCGTCGCGAGCGCGAGCCTGCCGGTCAGCTGGACCCTTCGCGAGCCGGCGGCGGCTGTCTCGGCCTCCGCGGCGGAAATGGCCCCGTCGGTGGCACCGGGGCGTGCTCCGCGACACCTAGGGAGCTGACCCAAGCCCGAACTGTAGTGGGTGGAAGCGGTTTCCACCCTTTCCTCCCTTCCCCCGAAATGGAAAAGAACCCCTGTGAAGACAGAATGGCCAGATAATTATCTTGAACCTGGATTCCAGCTCCCTTGTGCAAAAACAGAAGAGTAAGGCAGGGTTTTGGAGTTTACGTTTGTTTGATTAAGAGGGTTTTGCTGATGTTCCTGAAAACATGTATTTGTAGCCCCGAGATTGTGAACTAATTATTACTTCTGAGTCTCATTGTCCTCTTCTATAAAATAGGGACAATAATGGTGAAGTGTTTGTGAGGATTCACAGGTGTTTGTGAGGATCAAATGAAATAATCCACCTGAAGGTTTTAGCAGACAGGTTAAAGCTACTTGTTTAGCTTTAAACTAGCTAGTTTAGCAACTAACTCAGGTCTCAAACACCTTCGAGAAATGAAAGGATTTTGACACTATAAAATAAACACGTGCCTAAGGTGCATTGTCCATTAAAAAATGTATGTATATGGGAATTAAAACTGTCTATCCCCAAACTCGGTCTGGACACTGAGAATCAAAAACCCCACGTTAGCATCTACATAAAAAGGACTTTGCTAGTCCACTATCTTCATTCGCATTACTTTTCCAGAACGTTCTCTGCAGGCAAATGGTTTCTGCATTACAGGATCTTCCGCAAAGACCCATCAACTTGTCAATGGACAGCACCAACAGTTTGCACTCTAAAATTTTTTGAATGCCTCTCATTAAAATCCTCCTCTTGCTGTTAACACCAATCCTAGAATGTTGGTATCTCATGGTTCTTACCCAATCCCAGTCAAATCCCGACATTGAAAGACTCACCGCCTTAAGCCCATTTTTCATTTCTCAGTAAATTCTGATCTTTCTTTTCCTGTCTGAAGCACTGCTAAAGCTTCACGAAGTGATGTTCTCCCATAGTAAGGGAAGCAATAAATGCAGCTTCATCATACCATCAGGTGCATTGGTGATATATGGGGAGCCAGCATTTGATTTGTATTTTTTTAGAGATAGGGTCTTGCTCTATTGCTCAGGTTGGTCTCCAACTACTGGCCTCAAGCGATCCTCCCACTAATTCAATTAATGGTGTTGGAATAATTAGCTAAGCATTTGCACGGCTGTCGCCCAGGCTGGATTGCAGTGGCATAATCTTGGCTAACTGCAACATCCGCCTCCCAGGTTCAAGCAATTCTCCTGCCTCAGCCTCCCAAGTACTTGGGATTACAGACACATGCCACCACACCTGGCTACGTTTTGTATTTTTAATGGAGACGAGGTCTCACCATGTTGTCCAGGCTGGTCTCGAACTCGTGACCTCATGTGATCCACCTGCCTCGGCCTCCCAAAGTGCTGGGATTACAGGCGCGAGCCACCAAGCTGGGCCTCACACTTGTTTCATTCCCAGTGAACTACTTCACATACTGGCAAGCCTATCGGAGCAAGAGGTCACTGCACTGTAATGGTGAGGTTAGCCTATGATATGGTTGGGGCCTGGATGATTTCATGGTGATATCTTCCTCTTTGCCCCAGCCACCAGGCCCACCACCCTCCAGTTAAGCTTAAGTTTTCTCCATTCATTCAAATCTTCTAACAGGTGCACTCAAAAGAGTGGTATCATTTTCTTCTCCTAAGTCGTTCAGTTTTATGTTATTGTCCCTCATTGTTTTATTTTCAGCTGTGTTTCCATCAATTCTCTTGCTTTTTCTAGGAAAAGAGTCATATTTATTACAATTTATGATGGGTATTTGTCAGCCAGTAACAACACAGTGTTTATTATAGTTTTTCATTAGTATATTTTTATATTTGCTCGGGCTTTACCCCCTTACTCCTCTTTTTTGACAAATAATCTTTAATTTTGCTCTCAATATTATCACATTTGTCATTAGAAAAAGAACAAAAACAATTTTATAAATACTTTGTATGTAAAACTCCCTTTTTAGAGAGTACAATCCCAATAAAGTAAATTATACATGAATCTACATTCACAGGGTTAGAAAAAAGATTTAAAAGAAATATGCCAGGCTAGGCATGGTGGCTCACACCTGTAATCTCAGCACTTTGGGAGGCTGAGGTGGGAGGATCTCTTGAGTCCAGGAGTTTAAGATTAGCTTGGGCAACATGGCAAAACCCCATCTCTACTAAAACTGCAAAAATTAACCAGGTGTGGTGGCACATGCCTGTAGCCCCAGCTACTTGGGAGGCTGAGTTGGGAGGATGTCTTGAGCCCAGGAGGCAGAGGTTGCAGTGAGTTGAGACGGTGCCACTACACTCCAGCCTGGGTGAAAGAGCTGGACTCTGTCTTCAAAAAATAACAAAGAAATAAAAAGAAATAAAAGAAATATGCCAAATATTCAGTGTTTACCTATGATTTATTTTTTTACTATATACTTTTATGATTATTTAAATATTAACGATATTTTGCATACTTTTGTGACATTCTAAATATTCAACTTTTATAACAAACCTAAAACTACTTAATAAACAAAATAGTTTTACAAACATTCTGGCAAACAGAGAAGGAAAATGTTTACATGTCTTGTCTTGTCTTTCTTTTTTTTTTTTTTTTTTAGAGACAATCTCATTCTGTCGCCCAGGTTCAGACATCACAATTCACTGCAACCACGAACTCCTGGCCTCATGTAATTCTCCTGCCTGGGCCTCCCAAAGTGTTGAGATTACAAGCATGAGCCACCGCACTTGGCCAAGAATCTTTTTTTTTTTTTTTTTTTTTTTTTGAGACATTTGGTCCCCTTTGTTGCCCAGACCAAAGTGCAGTGGCATGATCTTGGCTCACTGTAGCCTTGACCTCCTGGGCTCAATCTATTCTCCTGCTTCAGCCCCTACAAGCAGCTGAGACCACAGGCATGCATCGCCATGCTGGGCTAATTTTTTTTTTTTTTTTTTTTTTTTTTTTTTGAGATCGAGTCTCACTTTGTCGCCCAGGTTGGAGTGCAGTGGCGCGATCTCGGCTCACTGCAAGCTCCGCCTCCCAGGTTCACACCATTCTCCTGCCTCAGCCTCCTGAGTAGCTAGGACTATAGGCGCCCGCCACCATGCCTGGCTAATTTTTTTTGTATTTTTAGTAGAGACGGGGTTTCACTGCATTAGCCAGGATGGTCTCGATCTCCTGACCTAGTGATCCGCCTGCCTCGGCCTCTCAAAGTGCTGGGATTACAGGCGTGAGCCACCGTGCCCGGCCCATGCCGGGCTAATTTTTAAGTTTTTTTGTAGAGATGGTGTCTCACTGTATTTCACAGGCTGGCCTTGAACTCCTGGGCTCAAGCAATCCTCCTGCCTCAGCCTCCCAAAGTGCTGGGATTATAGCCATGAGCCACCATAACCAGCCCCAAGATTCTATCTTAACTTATATTTTCCTGAGCCAAAATTAGATCTTGGTCCATCCAGGATATTTAAAACCAACCTCTGGCCAGGCGCAGTGACTCACGCCTGTAATTCCAGCACTTTGGGAGACCGAGGCAGGCGTATCACGAGCTCAGGAAATAGAGACCATCCTGGCTAACACGGTGAAACCCCAACCCTATTAAAAATACAAAAAATTAGCCATGCGTGGTGGCGGGCGCCTGTAGTCCCAACTACTGGGGAGGCTGAGGCAGGAGAATGACGTGAACCCGGGAGGCAGAGCTTGCAGTGAGCCAAGATCGCGCCACTGCACTCCAGCCTGGGCGACACAGCAAGACAGTCTCAAAAAACAAAGAAAGAAACAAACAAAAAAACCTCTACCATGTTCCCACTAGTAAAATTTAAGTTTCTTTACTTACAGTTTTTCAAACAGCTTTGCCCCGTGCTTGATGAATAGGAAATTGGTCAAATATTCATATCTGCTTATTTCTCCTGCCCCAAAAACTAATCTTCCATTATGATACAGTTTTTCTAAGCAATGTCAGTATTTTCCTTAAAATATGTGATGGAAAGTTCACAGGCTTTGGAGCTGCCCAACTTACCATTCACTTACTGACTGTATGACCTTAGTCCTGTTACTATCTTTTGCTGAGACTCATTGATCTTCTCTTAAATGGGATTAAGAATTCTTACTATATTATTGACCTGTTCAATACATAGTGATTGAAAATCATATTTATTGTTATCTTTTTTTTTTTTTTAATTGAGACGGGGTCTTAGGCTGTCACCCAGGCTGGAGTGCAGTGGCGCGATCTCAGCTCACTGCAACCTCTGCCTCCCAGGTTCAAATTATTCTCCTGCTTCAGCCTCCCAAGTAGCTAGGATTACAGGCGTACATTACCATGCCCTACTATTTTTTTTTTTTTTTTTTTAATAGAGACAGGATTTCACCATGTTGGCCAGACTGGTCTCAAACTCCTGACCTCAAGTGATCTGTGTGCCTCGGCCTCCCAAATTGATGGGATTACAGGCCTGAGCCAGCATGCCCGGTCCTATTATCTCTCTTGTTTGTTCCTTAATAGAAGGAAAATAGCACAAAGTACCCAAAACCCTCATATTTTTCAAGACAGTTATTTTCTTTTAAATTTTTCACGTAATTTTTACAACACTATGTGATTGAGACTATTATTTCCATTTGACCCATGTTCGATTGAAGAAGGTGCTAGTCCCACTATATGGATCTGATGACATCTAGAATACTCTGTATAGTACTGCTCTTTGGAAGAGAATAGTAAACTGCAGGGAAATTGCAATAGGTGGTGAAAATGTTCATGAAAAGGAATTGAAGTTAGGCATATTCAAGGAGACTTCACCAAATTCTACTC